AGTCTTCTGGTGTGATGATGATTATGATGATTATTCGTCGTCATAACTAGGCTCCCATCAAAGGGTCCCTCCATGCCTACACAAAAGCTACTCAGTGGCGGCAAAAATGCTCGACGAGACTTGCTAGTCTCTGCTTGTATACGTGTACGTATAAAGGACGTCCCGTCAGTCTGTGGAATTAATGGTTGCACAGTCCTTCCTCACTCTCGAGTCTAGTAGAAAGTCTCCTAGGGTGATAATGTCGACTCGAGCTTATAATACCATGTACGGCTGCGGCCGTAGCGGTGGACAAAATATCTCTCAAGAAGGGATGTCTACGAGGAAAAGACTCGATGAATTGACAGCGTGCACTGAGTTATTCAACTTTCCCTCACTCGTTGTCGTCGCATAAATATTTTTTAGCTCCCTCCAGAGAAAGGTCTATGACTCGACAACGAGATTTTGATCCCGATGTCGGAGAATAATTTTGTTCGCATATATGTGAACTAGACTAATTTATCTAAAAGTGTGTCTATTTTGATGTGAAACTTTTCATGGCAGGTTGAGTGCGTAGTAATTCCGTGAAAATCCATTGAAAGAGCGCAATAATCGTAGTTTTTAGTCTCAGGACTTCTAGTTGATTCGTGCGTTGTGATTGGTCAAGGTACGTTTGGAAGTGTCAAGGGTTTACTCGCTTCTCTCAACTGTGGCGTGCAGCGAGGACGAGTAGTACTCGGCACTTACGCCTCTGAAACGTCTACTTATTTAGGCGCGTCTTTTATATGTATCTCTCTCAGGCTTGATCTTGCTTTATTCGCGATGTACCCTCGACTGAGATTGAAGCAAAATCATATTTTTCTACAATCTAAAAGGTTTTCGTGTTTATTTCAAAGGTGAATCATATATTTTGTGATTTTTTCGATTTTTCACCATGAATTTTCCAACTTAGACCTTCAAATAATCTCAAAAAACTTGTTGATAAAGATCATTTTTACCGCAGATTGGAATTCAGAATCTTCTAACCCCTACGCACACATTTTTTTAGATTTTTGTACTATTTTTTTTTATTATAACCTTCAAATATCCCTGGAAATGAGAAAAACTAGAAAAATGTAAATGTAATGTTGTAATTAGTATCCTGTTTATCAAACTATTTATTGTTGAATGACCATAGGTTACGCAGAGTAGGATTTGAAGATATTCATATGTTCTATAAAATACATCAATTTATATTTCAGGTTTCAAATTGATATTGTAAATTCCCTGGTTATTCCAAACAATATAAAACAATTTCACATGTTTGAATTTACTTGAAATTAAGAATAATGAGAATAATTAAGGTAGTATCTCACCTTTAGGGTCACTCTACAATAAAATAACATCATTTTGTCAAAACTTGACTTATGAATAAGCACTATTTTGCAATTATATCACAAATTTACATTAAAATATGTATAGAATCAGGCAACTCTTGGTTAAATCCTCGATATACTACTTAATCAGCAAAAAAACCTCAATTTTAAAACCTTTTTTTTTAATTTTTCAGATTTTCACTAATTAATAGCTAACGAAGTGACATTCTGAAAAGTTCCAGATAAAGCTGAAGTATTTTTAATCTATTACAAAAAGTTTCGTTGATATATCTCCATAGGTTTGATAAATATTCGATAAAATATAAATTTTTCCTATGTTGCCCAAGTTAAATGAGCGATAAATGATGCATAAATATAGAAATGTGCCGAGTTTCATCGAAATCTCCCCATAATTTCAATTTGGAGATGTACTACCTTAAACGTAAGATTTTTGCTATTTTAAAATGACTATTTAAAAATTCTCACATTTGAAATCATTTATTTCAGTGTAACGTTAATATTCCACAAAATTATAAACAATTTGTAAAATATCAGCAGATTTTTATGCATTGTACTATTTTACTTTGTAAACACCCGGTTTCAACTTTCTAATCAACAAAATACGTTTGGTCGCGATTAAACACCTCTGAAATGTATCAAATTTGTTGGTTTTCGATGTCATATTCTGTTATGAAAGTATTTTGCGCTTACTGTTGCATAAGATTTTGTATGCTACACGTGCCCAGCTGTGGTAAAAGGCCCAGTTTCTACGCACTGGGTTACCGTCCGGATATAAAAGTATGTACAGATTTAATTTTTATACGGTTTTTTTTTCAGTGGCAGTAATTCTCTCTTTATGTGCCTCGATGCAGTTTATTGGTACTCGCGCGTGGAGAAACTTTACGAGCTTGCGAGGCGCATTGTATTATAGCCAGCGGTTTATACGAATCACTATTATTATCGGTTCGATATATGTTGTATATTATCTCGTGTGCGCGGGCGGATCATCGATGCAGCGAGCATCTATTCTGCCATCCGGCAAATATTCGAGAGCTAAGATATGCCGAAATTCTGCAGTACTGCTCGGCTATAGATGATGCCAGTGAGAGAGGGGGACGATGATCGAGAATATTTAGCCTCGTACGGTAGTCGTCGTCCAATTACGAGAGGGAGTATTATCGATTTGCATTCCTTAGGATTTCAAGAGGAAGAGATATCTCGAACATGCTCGCGGGCGGCCGAGTATACATTGAAAATCAGTGCCCGCAGTAACAACATGCTTAAAGCAGATCGGGGCGCTAGGCTATACTGCACTCTCGCTAAGAGAGAGAGAGAGAGAGAGAGAGAGAGAGAGAGAGAGAAAGAGAGATGGATGGATGGATGGATAGATAGATAGATAGAGGCAGAAAGAGAGAGGAAGCAATGATGAGAAAGGCATCAAAGCCAGCTCGCGAGAGAGAAAGAGAGAGAGAGAGCAATTCATTACCCAAGAGGTTGGCATAATAATCGACCGAAATGTTATATATATATAAATGAGCCACAAGCCACGAGCCACGAGGCGTGCCGCGCGCAGGAGAAAATCTGCGCGAATTGAGATTAACGCGCGCTGCGCACGAAGCGGTAAATTAACGATATTGCTGCGGAGTGCAGCACTGTTATATACGTGTATGAGTATGTATAGTTAGTGAACCGACGGGGACCCTTTTCTCTTTCTCTCGACGGAGTTTAGAGTAGCACGAGGACGATGACTACTATCTTGGAGCAAACGGCGAGCAGCAGGCCAAGCTATATCTATACGTACATTATATGCAAGCTCGAGATTTTACCGAACGATCGTCGTTTGGCTCTGTGGATATTCTTAGCAATTTGCCAAAGTAGACCCGATCTGCCGGTAGCTCGCTCGCTATCACTAACAGTTGCTATAACTGTTTCATTAAGCCATACCCGTTATATATATATGATAATATATATATTTTATTTGCACGCAGACACTGGCGTGCCTGTGCAGGTATAAATTATTTAGACGGCAACTGAATCAGTCACATTGCAAACCAAGACACAACGCGTGCGAGGCTGTATGCGTATAATCGAGCCTCGTGTACACGCGCAGCTTTGCATACATCTGCATTAATGGTAGAGATCGATGCCTACAATATGCTATCGTATCGGATCTTTCCACTATATGCATACGCATGTAAATGGCTTAAATATCAAAACCAGCTAACCATGTAGGAGCGAGTCGCGCGTATTATTTCATCAAAAATTACAAAAAAATAGCCACAATAAGCCAATTACATTTGGCATCGGGCACACACACTCCTACACATAAATAGACGGTAAATGACCTATACATCGGAGCTGTATATAACAGCGCGAATGGAATGATTGGACCCATATACAAGCATACGCGCAATAATGTAAAAGCCAGCAGCAGCATCAGATCGATGTATATGTGTATATGCGCCTGTAAGGCAATCAAAAGCAGAAGTAGGTGACTAAATCGCGAGCGAGTGTGTACGAAATCAACTAAATAACGATCATTTAGCTTTCCCCTCGCACGCTCGCTCGCAGGTATTAACGGCAAATTTACGGAAAATGGCTCACTGATATATAAACGCGAGCACACACACACACACACACATACACAGAGACAAGGGCGATTGCGAATCGTTACGATTACTCATACGATGCACTCTGAAAAAGTGACTCTTGCGATTACACGTCAACGACGTTATTTGTCAGCTGCTAATATTACGAGGATCGCTTCGTTTTTACGATCACTCGAAACTCTGCTCTGTACATGCGATGATTTAACAAAAAAACTCACGGCTATATTCCGCGTAGGGAATCTTCGTTCTATCGCTTGTATATAGATATACAAGCGTAAGCTACTCTCCTCGGCTTGGGCTTCGCGTCTCATTAAGCAGCGAATCGACCGCTGCGTCGAGTCTTTTACGGTCGGATTCTGACACACTCGCGTGCGCACGAGTGTGCGTTACACATAGCGAACTGAAAAAAAAAGGGAGAGAAAGCCGTCGAGAGAATATTGTAAAATCGATAACAGCCCCCATCGTGTACACGCTCCGAGCGTATAAACTTTACTCGAGTAACATCTTGATTCGCGCGCGCACACAGCACAACACAATGCTAAATGTTCCAAAGCAGTAGTCATTATCGTTGCAGCTGGCGTTAGTGGCAATATTTACATCGATCAAAATTCACCTAATAGAACGCAGCTTGGACAACGTCGCTTGCATTCAAAATCATGCGCGCCACGGTATCCTCCTCCCCTTCTCTCTCAAGTAACTCGTGACAAATGATTTTCGAGCAGCCAGGACGTAGCGTACAATCACAAACCTGCATTCGTATTAGGTACTAATTTTTGTTTGTCTTTTTTTCATCCCAAGTAAGATTCGTCCCTGCTAAAGCATGCTCATCAGCAACATCTGAGAGAAAAAATAATGCGAGTCTACATGTGTACGAATAAAATTGATTAAGCTAAACGAGCGTTACGTCGACGACACAGGCGTGCGCTATATCTCATCCGATTGATCTACGACGAATAATCGCAAAGTTAAAATGCAAAATTAAATACGCACAGCTTTGATATGCACTTGCGATGATGACATATATTTTTGATTCGTATTTATGTATGCGTTTCTGATACAGATTTCACGGTGCCGGGTTGCAGTAACATTCGATACAAAACTGTTGACGATGTCAATGCTACAGAACTGGGATTCGAACGACTGGAGCTCACACCTATTGTTGTAACGAAAATGAGGTGAGTGAATTCTATGTTGATTTTTTTATCCTTTGTTGTGTTTTTGTTTTCTTTATTAAAAATACAACAATTTATTTGAATTTAATTGACCTAAATATTGAAATATATTTAGAACAAAAGTAACGAATAAACATAAACAATTTTTTGAATAAAGTCGTTTATACTGCCAATTACAGTGTATTGCAGTAGCTGCAATGAGTGAAACTTCTTAAAGTTTTTTTTGTATATAAAATTGAAATAAACACAAAAATAAATTACTGCCCAAGCCAATTTCAAATTCGATGAAACATTGAAAATAAAAAAAATTCCAGAAAAAAATTCAAACAAAATGGAAAAGAACCCTGAAGTTTCCCTTTTAGTCATTACGGGTGACACTTTACGGACTTGACAAGTCAATACGAGTAAGATTAATTTTTTTACGAACGTTGTGTACCAAGCAACTTACGTTAAGATCATCTGATTCTACTTTATTAAGCTCTACTGTCTCACAAACAAACGCAGTAAGCGCCTCCTCTCCCTTTACTTTCATTTCACTTGTGTTATCGACCAACGAAAATGTTCCGATACATGTTGCCTTGTCACACAAATAATTATGAAAATTTGTGTGCCAACCAATCAACCCATTCGTGAAAGAAACTACATCGTGCTTTACACTGTTTGTGTGTCTATTTTTATAATCATCGTAGATATACCATACTTTATACCATTATTTTTTTTCAAGATTGGACCTACTGGTTCTCAATATAAGTCCAGATATTGCGGGCACCTCTATCAGAAAAATTATTCTAGAGCTAATTTTTGTTGTTTCTGGTGTATAATAGCCATCTGAATCTGAATCTGTATAGTTCCAGACCGAAAAGTGTATAAAATTTATTTAAACAAATTTTTTTTCAACAAAAAGCACATTTTAAATAGCACCATATTAAGCGCGGACTAAAGAAACTTATTAACTGTAGTTCAACAATTAAATTTTTGAAATTGTTTTGTATACTATTTCATTAATTCACTTATAAAGATTATCAGCCGATATTGGCAACGTGTGAATTCATAATTTCAAACCCGTTTCAGAGAGTTGAAAACAGCAATTTTCACATTTATTCGAATGGGTTTTAGGTAAAAAAATTAAAATCATATGATAGGGTCAACTGACTAGTGAATGAACGACCACCAGTAAATGAATGACTAGTACATTAAATTAATTAAATAATAAATATTTTGATAATATTTATTATAACAACCACTCATCTTTTCTTGGGTGACAGCACTTTCAACACTAACAGTTTTATTTTAAGGACTTTTGGGACGCAACCGAGTTCAAATCAGCAACTATCAAGAAACAGCGGAAGGTAGATACTTGATTTGACTAGGTAGGTCGGTGGTATCATAGGCTCTCAGCCAATACACGCGTATTTTTGTCTGCTGCTAAACTCTCGAGTTAGGTTGAATGTAGAGCAAACACGAAATTTTTTCACTTTTATAAAATTACTTTGAAATATGCTCGTGAATATACAATATAACCGATACCATTTGAAAGGTAATGATTTCATCTTTCATTATGCTAAATTTGGTCACGATCTCCCATTTTGACCTAAAGTTACACTTGAAATTGTATGAGAAATCTGAGCTTTCCTATGATTTCCATGTTAAAAAGTTTACTTTTGAAATTAAATTATACAAAAATTCATTCGACAATCGACGTTAAAATTTCGGGAGAACATTATCAGTGTTATTAACTATCAAATTCCGAAGTTTCAACTTCGTGACCCAACTTGACCAAGAGATCCCCAACGTCCTTAATTAAAACCATTTTTTTATTAGTAAATCTATTTATATTATACGCTAGTGCATAAAATCATTTAATCACTGGGTAAATTAGACATAATCAATGTTTACCCAGTGATTGAATAGACATCCTGAGATATCTTCGTTGTAGAGGTTATGAATTCATCGAGTCTAATTGTCAAGAATCTATTACTCCTGGACGATTTTTACAATCATTAATGAGTTACACTACTCAAAGGAAACTACTAAATATGAATTCTTCAATGTGACCCGGTTATTTTATGGATGGTTACATAATATTCAATTATAAAATTGACAATATCACACGTTCATTTACTGGTTCAGCAGCATTCATTCATTGGTTCGGGGCATTCATTTACTATATAAAATACGTTTTCAAATAATATTAATTAAATAATAGATTGTACTTTAACAATTATTATTAAATGAATATGTAAACTTGTTAATTAAGAGCATTAAAATCTGAAAATCATCTACTTCATAAATAAAAAAAATTATTGTGGTTTTTATAATGTGATTTAAGTCGCATTTTTTGAAACCATTCATTCACTGGATGGTTGACCCTATTTGTTTAAAAAAATTCGTTCACACAACTTTTCACACACTTTTTAGTCTGACAATATGCAGGATTCAGACGGTCATTTTCCATAAGAAACTACAAAAATTATTGTTATGATGATCACTCAACGACTTTAAGTGAAAGTAAGGTAATGACATCTGTAGTAGCCGAAATCCTAGTAAATTAGGGTTGAAATAACTTGATTAAATTATCGCATGCAAAAGATCAATAGTTACAAAAAAAAGGTGTGGCCTGTATCGAATATTCAAAAATTTTTTTTATAATTTTTGAACATTTAATAATTACTACTCACAAGGAGACTTTCTCACCTTCGGGTCACGGATCTTTATAATAAAGCTCCCTATGCTTAGTTTTATTGAATGGGCCTTAGGGCCCATTTTAAAAGGGGTTTTCTCTTTTATTTAAAAATCGTTGAAATTTTCTATATCAAGATAGGAGCACTTAAACAAAAAAATGCACCGATTAAAAGTTTTGAAATTTTTCAAAGAATCTGCCTGAATTTTTTCAGAATTTTTCGAATCGTCCATTACCCTTTTTTAGAGGTTTCTAAGTTTCGTAAGAAAAGCATCAAATTAGGGTCTCTGACAAAGGGTAATGGACGATTCGAAAAATTCTGAAAAAAATTCAGGCAGATTCTTTGAAAAATTTCAAAACTTTTGATTGGTGCATTTTTTTTGTTTAAGTGCTCCTATCTTGATATAGAAAATCTTAAAGATTTTTAAATAAAAGAGAAAACCCCTTTTAAAATGGGCCCTAAGGCCCATTCGATAAAACTAAGCATAGGGAGCTTTATTATTAGGTTCCTGGAGACCCCAAAAAATTTTTGGTAAAGATCCGTGACCCTAAGGTGAGAAGGTCTCCTTGTCAGTTATCATATGAGTCTGTGTTAATAGCTGTGGGAGAAGTCAGCCTCTTTTGTATTATAGGGTATGTGCATGATTTCGCAATATATACAGATTTTTTTTACCAATTATTTACCAAAAAAAGTAGTTGCTTTGTAGAAAATGTCGAAAATGTTATCTGACTTATTTCTTCTTTTCGAGAATGCTGAAAAAAATAGAAAAAGTTTTGAAAGAAAATGAGTGGCTACGTGTTTATATGTAAACATTTTTTGCTCGTACTATATAGTAAGCTGTATATAGCGAGCTGCGTGACTACTTCATTAAACGTTGATCCGCTCGAAGCTTGCGGGGATGAGAAAAATGTTCGGGAAGTAGTAGAAGAAAAAAATAGCAAAAGAAGAAGAAGACAAGAAGAAGATGATGGAAAGAAAGAGAAAGAAAAGAAGAGATAGCGGAACAATGCATACGAGGAGGCTATCGGAGAAATGGAAGATGAAAAATGTAGAAGTTAGGCAACGGGGAAAGAAGTGCTTGAAAGCGAGACGCACAAGGGACGTTATAGTACGTGTGAAAGCACGGTATAAAGTCCCCCCATCTCGGGCGGCGAGCTGCGAGCTCTGCGCGTAGGGCACGTGAAAGAGAGAGAGAGAGAGAGAGAGAGAGAGAGCGAGAGCGAGAGGGATTTCAAAGTCGAGCGGCAAATCCCCACGTTATTAAAAGTCACTTTCGGTTAGCGCTTCGGCTTACTTTGGAATTTTCACCGACTCCTGCCAATCTTCCATCCGTTACTACTGACTTTTTCACTTTAATTTTAGATTCTATTTTTTCCGCTCCAGGGCAAGCAGCCAGGCAGGCGCGAGAAATTTTTTCTAATAAACGAAAACGCGTCGCGCGAGGCATATATCCGCAGCACCGAGTTTCCATAGCTATAGCTGCGTGACTTATTAACGAAATGCGACGTCTGCTGGTGCGGTATAGCGTCAGACAGGAGCAGCAACGGCAACGGTGCAAGCTGTGCGATGCCTCATCGAAACGAATCGCCTCTGCCGCCGCGTCAGAAACACATATCGAGTGCTTTGGTATTTAAGCGTTATTGCCGCGTGTTGCAGCTGCACAGCGGCACGCATAAATCCAGCTTTCTCCTCTTGTGTTTCTCATATCGTGTATGGAGTCGAGGCAGCCGTAACGCATTCCTCCGCATGCTGTGGAGCATACGGCACAAACCTGCCCCCGCTTACCTTTATGCCAACGCATGTACATGTATATACAGCAACAGCCGAGCTGGGGGTAGCTTGGCCAGATAAAAATTCAATGGTTATAACGTTGCAGTTGCCGCTGCTGGGCACTTTGATATTTGGGACACACGCACACGAGCAACCCACAAACAAGCAGATCGATTTTCTACGCTGTCGCAAAAATGTCGGCTTTTTCTACATGGCGATGTAGACGATGTAGACGATGTAGACGATGTAGCGCAGGCAAAAGGAAACAAATAAATGTTATATTATGTAAAAGTGACGCGACAGAATGTCAAAAGAATTTTGCTTCGATGAGCCACGTGCAGCTCGGGGAGTATTTGTGTACACTCTATCTATGCTCGGAATTTCTGGATTAGACGACTCTACGTTCAAATAGTTATAAAAGTTGCTTCTATTTGCTTGGAAAACAAAATGAGAGACTCGCCAATTGACATATTGAATGAAGCGAATTTTTTCCTCCCAAAGCCGAGCCGAATTAATCCTCGACAGCCATCCTTTTATCAGTACGAATAAATG